AAAGCTAAAGACTATATAAGAGCAATTTCAATTGAAAACAATGAAATATCAACTGACAGTCAAGTTTTTGCTAATCAGTTAAATCGGTTTTTGAATTCTGTATTCATAAATGAAAGCCTAATTAATATGCCTACATGTGAAAATATAATGGAAAAAATTTGCCCAACCCCATTGTTTAACGATAAAGATATTAAAAAACGATTATTGAATCTAAATGTGCACAAGTCCCCAGGTATCGATAGAATTCATCCAATGTTATAAAATAAGTGTGCTGACAGTTTAGCAAGACCACTCTGTATGATATTTAACCAATCATTTCTAACTGGAACATTGCCTACAAGCTGGTTAAAAGCAAATATCACTATAATTTTCAAAAATGGGGATAGGTTGAATGCAGGTAACTACCGTCCAATTTCATTGACCTCTGTTGTTTGTAAAGTAATGAAAAAGTATTGTTAAGGATACAATAATCAACCATTTAAATAAAAATAAGTTATTAATTCCAGAACAAAACGGGTTCATCAAATCAAAATCTTGTGTAACAAACCTCCTTGAGGCATTAGACATAATAACAGAAGCAATAAATTGTGGAAAATGTGTTGATGTTGCCTTTTTAGATTTTTCTAAGGCATTTGATTCAGTTCCGCATTCCAGGCTGCTCTTGAAACTTAAGTAGTTTGGTATCGTGGAAAATTGTTGCAATCGTGAAAAGCTCTTTTAGCAAATCGAAAACAGAGAGTTGTTTTGGGACTGTTTGAATCAGAATGGGACACAGTTCGTAGTGGGGCACCACAAAGATCGGCCTTAGGACCCTTTCTTTTTATAATGTATATAAATGAATTAACAAAAAATTTGAATAATAAAGCAAAACTGTATGAAGACGATTTGAAAATAATTGCAGTTCTAGAAAAAAAATAAAATAAATTACTCTCTACAGTTTGATCTTGACATCTTATTTAACTGGAATAAAAGATCTTAACAAAGATAAATATAAAATCATGCATTTTGGTCGTGACAATCCGAAAACTAAATATAATTTAAAATATAATGCAACAGAAACAGAAATTATTCAACATGGACTAATAGTAACGTCATTGGAAAGAGACCTTGGTGTTTATATTTCGGACAATTTAATATGGGAAGACTACATTGAAAAAATGGCAAGTAAAGCGTTTCAAAAATTGGGTATGTTAAAGGACGCAACTCTCTATCCAGATGAAACATCAACAAAATTGTTATTTATTTTACTCGTTCGGCCACACTTAGAATATACTTTTCAAGTGTGGAACCCATATTTTACTAAAGATATAAACTTAGAAAAACAGTTACGTACAAAGAATAGATAAAATGGACTTACAAAATTTATCTAATAGATGAGAAAAAGGTGATCTTATCCAAATGTGCAAATTCATGAACAAAAATGATACCATCAATTGGCATCGTGAACCAGAAGTATTGGGTAGGCTAACTAGAGGACACAATAAAAGGTTGCGAAGGCAGTATGTTCAAAACTTTTTGCCGAGGCATCATTTCTTCACAAGCCGTATAGTTGAAAATTGGAATCGTTTGGACAATGAAGTTGTTATCGCTAATTGAGTAATTGATTTTGAAAATAAACTTTAAAAGTTAAGCGAAAAATAGTTGTTAAAATCTAACATCTACAGTTGTTAGATTCTTTCTTGAGACTCTCAAGAACACAGCTTCATTTATTATTATTATTATTATTATTATTATTATTATTATTATTATTACTATTATTATTATTATTATTATTATTATTATTATTATTATTATTATTATTGCTATTATTATTATTATTATTATTATTATTATTATTATTATTATTATTATTATTATTAAATACTTTATTAAAGTATCTCCCAAAACCTTCGGCATTGAAAATCGAAAGAAAATTATTTTATTTTTTTTATTTTTGCGGTATTATGCGGTAAAATGATTATGCATTAGAAATGATATCATAAATCCAAATTATTTATATTATATAATTATAAGTTTATTTAGTTGCTCTAAAAATAAAGTCGGGTATATTTATTTAACTAAAAACTTAGTCAGTTAATTTTAGTTAACTAAAAAGTTAATCAACTAATTTTATTTGAACTGAAAAGTTAGTCGGGTAATATTAGTTAGCTAAAAGGTTTGTCGGGTAATTTTATTTAACTAAAAAGTTAGTCGACTAAATTTAGTTAACTAAAAAGGTAGTCGGGTAATTTTAGTTAACTAAAAAATTAGTCGACTAATTTTAGTTAACCAAAACGTTAGTCGACTAATTTAAGTTAGCAAAAAAGTCGGGTAAGTTTAGTTAGCTAAAAAGTTAGTCGGGTAATTTTAGTTAACTAAAAAGTTAGTCGACTAATTTTAGTTTATTTAGATTTAGTTTTGGTCACAACACTACAAATTAAAGCTGACCTAAATTGTTAACCATTTATACTTTCTGGCTAAAACATCATCCAGTCTTTGGACCGACCATATTCTAAATTTGCTCTTAATTTTGATAAAGCATATAAAGTGATTTTCATTTTACAAGTGTTTTTATTGTCGCACTAAAAAGTTATAAACTTCACTTAAATTGAACATTTAAAACAAAATATAAACTAGTTAATTATATCATCTTATATAAGTGGCGTTCTTGGCTCAGCTAGGTTAGCATTTTAAGGATCTGTACAAAACGTGAAACAACGCTTTTTATCATAAATGGTAAATAAAGCTTTTTTCAACGCTTTTTTTTTAACAACTAAACGGCATTTACAAAAAAGCTACATTTTACTATAAAAATTAAAATATAACAGAAATATGTCCAGTTTTATCGTTTTTTAAAGATCGCAAATATAAGTACAAGAAAGTTTTTACCCAATTGAAAAACATGCAATAATTGTTGCAATGGTACTGTAAAACTTGAGCGGAATATTGCTACATCTACTATCTTAAAACCACCTGCTTCAAAAAAGTGCTTCTGCATCTACAAGTTTAATGCCTCCTTTTGCAAGGAAGTGATGCTACAGCAAATGAGAGTTTGAATTACGCAAGCAATCTATTAGTAAAAAAAAAGCAAACTTTGCCTGATGCAAAAATTTTAAAACATTTTTGGGTTTTACTTTTAGTGTTTGATTTGAACTATTATATATATATATATATATATATATATATATATATATATATATATATATATATATATATATATATATATATATATATATATATATATATATATATATATATATATATATATATATATATATATATATATATGATATATATATATATAATATATATATATATATATATATTATATATATATATATATATATATATATATATATATATATATATATATATATATATGAAGGTTTATTTTTCTTAAGTGTAAAAGCTTAACAAAGAAATGCCTTTAGTTGAAGTATTTATTAAATTGTAAATGTAATAGTTAAATTGTGGGTTTTTATAAAAGCTTCATATGGTGTAGTTAAGCTGTAAAACAAGGTGACTTTTTATTTATTTAGTAAAAATAGGTTTTGTAAATTCAAAAAAGAGTTACATTAGAAATACTAGCAAAAGTAGATTTTAACATAAAGTATGTGAAATCTATAGAATAAAAAGAGAAAAAAAAAATGTTGGGTAAACGTCCGTGTTCGTTTTAACACATTTAAGATGGACTTTCATGAGCTATCAACGTAACGTTTCCAGCAAAGGTTTGCTGTTTGTTATTTGAACGTTCACTGCAAACGTTCAAGAACTGTAAATTAGAGTTAACAAAAATTTGTTTAAATAGTGTGTACAGTTAAAGTTAATCAGTCCTAAACGAACGTTACGGTAATGTTTTTTTAACGTTAATTTTTAGCTTGGGTGGACGCTCAAGAGCTGTCAAAGTAACGTTTGCAGCGAATGATAAGTCAACCTTTATTTTTTTTGTTGCTTGAACGTTCACTGCAAACGATTGAGATCTTCAATTCGGAGTTCACAACAGTTGGTTTAAAGAACGTTTGCAGCGTACGTTATGGAAATCTAAACGAACGTTATGGTAACGTTCTTTGAATGTTAATTGTTAGCTGGGTCGGCCTGCCGATGTATAGGTCATTTGCAAGTGCATCGGGAAAACTATCGGTCGATGCCGATTGTTTTAAATATTTTTAAATTTATTAAAATCTTAATAAATAAAACTTATTAAACTTAAACCTTAGTTTACATTTAAAACATTTTACATTTTACACAGATATAGATCTTTACAACAATCATTTAAAATGTACTGAAAATCAATATAGTATTTGTAAAACCACGATATAGGTAAAATATTGGATTACAATAGTACGATTTAGGATCTTGGTTCATTAATAGTACCGAGAGTATATTTTTTTTAAATTTAGTTCGTTACCAATTACCAACGTTTAAATTTTGACATATTTGAATTTCTTTAAAACTGTTTATCCCTAAGTTATAAAATAAAATAAAGTCTCGTTTGCTCTTACTTTGTGTTTTTTTTTTCTATTTTTGACTTTATTCTTAGAGGGTACAAGATCGGCAACTTTACCCTAAATGCAATGTATAAGCCTAACTTATTTATAATAAATTTGAAATAGAAATATATGAAACCACTAAACTAAAAATTTTTCAACTGCTTCTAACAGAGTTTCGCACTTTTTAGGCGTTTTCTTGAATTTTACAAGAAATTTGTTATTAATTAATAATAAATTATAAAGAGAAAATTGTTTCGAACAAAGATTTTTGATTTCTTTTTGTTATTCTTTACCATCAAAATGTTTTATTACATTTATAATATAACTAAATAACAAAAAAGTTTATTATTAAATTAAAAGCGTTTAATAAATAAACATTTAATATAACTATTCTTTTATAATTTAATTTTGTAAAAACATTAGCTAAAACTTTGTAAATATTAGTAGTAACTACATAAAATATATATATATATATATTTTATTTTTTTTAAATATAGGTTTAGGTTATACTATACTTTTTATATTTTTTAGATACAAATATACGTTTAAGACCAGTTATCAATGTTAGTATCAGTGGTCTCCTAACAGATAAGTAAGTGCAGTTAGATTTTAAAAAAGATAATTACATAATTTAAAAACAATATATAAATATATATATATATATATATATATATATATATATATATATATATATATATATATATATATAAATATAAATATATATATTTATATATATATATATATATATATATATATATATATATATATATATATATATATATATATATATATATATATATATATATATATATATATATATATATATATATATATATATATATATATATATATATATATATATATATATATGTTTACAAACTATAAAAAAATTTTATTACAAATTTATAGTAAATAAAAATGCTTTTAATAAACAAAATTTAAATAAGCAATAAACTAAAATAAAATCCTATCACTTAATAATATTTGTATTTAGTCTATTTTTTGTTTTAGAAGTTTTCTCTTTCTTAATACTACAATATGTAATGTAAATAAAACAGACGTAGTTGCTTATAATTTAACGTGGAAATACATGTTGCCGTATTATTCAAAGATTTTGTCTCAAAGTGGAAGTTATTTAGACAAAGGCTCTACTTATAAAGTAAAAGTTTTTGTTTCATTTATATATATATATATATATATATATATATATATATATATATATATATATATATATATATATATATATATATATATATATATATATATATATATATATATATATATATATATATATATATATACATAATATATATATATATATATTTATATATAAATATATATATATATATATATATATATATATATATATATATATATATATATATATATATATATATATATATATATATATATATATATATGTATATATATATATATATTTATATATATATATATATATATATATATGTATATATATATATATACATATATATATATATATATATATATAATATATATATATATATATATATATATATATATATATATATATATATATATATATATATATATATATATATATATATATATATATATATATATATATATATATATATATGTATATATATATATATATATATATATATATATATATATATATATATATATATATATATAATATATATATATATATATATATATATATATATATATATATATATATATATATGTATATATATATATATATATATGTATATATATATATATATATATATATATATATATATATTTATCTATTAATTAAATAAAAATATAGTTGCATACAACTCTACAAATTAAGATATATATTTTTATTTAACTGTAAGACATAATAAAAATAACTGGCAAATACAACAATATATTAATGTGGAATTAAAAATTAATCCTACGAATATATATTTATTTTCTTTCAAAAAAATAAAAAAATAATAAATAAATGTGAATCAACTAAAATTTAAATGTTTGTAAAAATGTTATAGAACAATATTTATATTTATATAACAGAATATTTATTTACGACAACAGAATATTTATTTACCACATTTTAAATAGCAAAACTTTTGAATAAATGTGATATAAACAAGGTTTGTATAAAACTAATAAAAAAAGAAATACTTGTTCATAAATATCTGCAGTTCGCAGATAACCCCCCGTCAGTCTTACTGTTTAAAACCATTGATCTAGACTTGCACATAACTAAATTATTTACAAAAAAAAAATTGCATAAAAAATTAACAAGTACAGACACTTACTTAGAAGTATTACAGGAAAATATTTGTATAAATTCTTTGTCATTTTTGTTTAAAACTGAAAAAAAAAAAAACTATACTTCGGAAAATAAAAATTTTCAATGTTTGTTGAAAAGAAAATCATTTAAACTGAATAAAAATTCTTTATTGATTACTCTTAATTTTGGCAGCAATATCCTCACTTTCATTCTGCTGTTTACCATAAAGTTACGATAATAATGTTGAGCTGTTTTCATCAATACATTATAGCTAATACTAGTTGTTTTTTTTTTTAACTTATAATGTTAAAGCAAACAGCAATATAAGAATGAAATTTAAGTATAGAAGTTATATCACTCGCAACATTACGGTTTATTTTGTTATGCGAAGATTATTTTACATTATTCTTATTGTTCTTCTATATTATTCTTATTATTCTTTTTTATTATTCTTGTTATTCTTTTATATTATTCTTATGTTACCATTTTATATTATTCTTATTATTCGTTTTTAGATTCCTGGTGCCTTTGGGACAATAAATATAAATCAATATATGAATATAACTTTAGACATGAATAGCTGCTACTCACAGTGCGGCGACTTTATTTTAGAAATTCCATTGAAGATTTCGTTTTATGATTACGTTGGATACGCAACTAACCAATACACTTCGTTTAAAACAATTGTGAAGACACTAGGCAGCTGTTCTTCAATAAATGAAAAAGAAAGTAACGCTTTAAAAGGTTTTATTAGTATTTTTTTATTAAATTAAAAAAAACAGATTCAAGCATTTTAAAACGAAGATCTACTGATTTAAAAAAAATGATTTAAGTTGGTATGAGTCACGAATCAGAATGGGGGTTGGTAGGTTTTTATTTCCTCCTTAAATTTTCGATTTAAAAACCCAATATGGAAACTATATGTTTATTACTATTGTTTTTATAATTATCTGTTATTGAATTTAACCCTTAACTATCGTTGATGACCGCGTTTTACCTAACAAAAAAAAACATAAAAACTTTCTACTCTGTATAAAGTCAATGCCGCTACTTTTTGCGGAACATTTTGATTTTTTTAATGTCACATTTTTTGGTACATGATTTTTATTATAACAGATTAGACGTTTAAATATATATGAATTATTCCAAAATCAATTTTTTATTATCCTATATATTGAAACTTTGTTCAATTATAATAAACTTAGGAATAATAGTTAATTACATACTGTGTCACTAAAAATAAGTTAATAGAAACTATATTTATCTGTTTTTTTTAAATATTTTTGCCTTTTTCTTTTAAGAATTTTGTTATAAAAAGATATAAAAAATTTTGATGATTGCATGACGTCAAATAAATACTAAATTTTAATATACATATTTATATAGAAAAAAAAGATTAACACACCGATAAAAACATTAAATCTATATAATTAATTTTTTATCGTACAGCTTATATAAAATCAAAATTTTACAAATTAAGTAGAATTTTACTTATTTATAGCTTGGAAAGATTATTCAATTATAATTATTTCAATATATTAAAAAAATTTTCCTAAAAAATAGCAGGTAAAATAGATTTTTTTGTGATTAGATAAAATCTCGTAAAAAAAACAGCATTACTATTTTTAAAAATTACAAAAACTATATTAAGTTTATGTTTATGTAGTAAATTTTAAATAAAAATCAACATATAGACCTGGCTCTGACGGATATATTTTACAAACATGTACTGCCTTCAGAGGTTTTCTTTGTTTGTACGAAAACCTTTTGCATAACATACCCGACAAATTTTTGAAGGACGATTGGCATTTTTTAAATATTGTCTAGTTGCTGGAACATGTATTGAAGTTAGTTTTTGTAAAATATTATCTGGTATTAAGTTTGTATTTTGTGATAATAGCATAAGTTGGGCAATTGTATGATGCATAACGTCAAGAAACGTTGTTTAACATATACTTTATGTGCATTTAAAACACCTTGGGTTGTTAGTCGCAGTGCTACATTACAATGTCATTTATAAGATTTTCTTAGTGTCCGAATTCTAAAAAAATGCTGATAAACATGGTCTACGCCACCCATATGAATACTTAATGATTTGATAACAGCAGATTTTTTAATTTTGTCTTCATATCAATTTATACATCTTTTAAAAAATGGTTGTAGGCAAATTGTTTGCCTATAAAAAACTTTTTATATAACAAATATTTTATCTTTTAGACCACAGAATTTACATGCAATTAGAGTGAGTTCTTTGTATATTTAAAAAACAGAATCGTTATGTTACAAAGCCTCTGTTGTAATTTCTGTTTTTAATTAAATGTTTTAAATTAAATCATATAATAAACTGTTTTTAATTAAATTTGAATTTAATTTAAATAAAAGTAAACTGTATTTAATTAAATCGTTATGTTCTACATAATTGAGTGTTATTGTCTATGAATTGTATCGCTAACTTTGTACTGGTATAAAAATTATCTGTAAACAAAACATAAATTTTTCCGAGATAATTTTCCATTAACACATGGAGTATACTATTTGTATAATAATATCATTGGTAGCAAACATCCTTTTGCCGTGAAAATTTAAAAAAATTAAGTTTAATGCCATTACATGTTGTCAACTCATAAAGTTTTATACTAAATCTCGCTTAGTTTTTGAGTACTGCTAAAAACTAAAGCTTGCCTTTATAAAGAACAACCAAGCTAGCGCGAAACTTTCAAGCACATTTGACAAACGTTCTGTAAATGTTTTAGAAAACTGTGTATACACAATATAAAACTTTATAGTTTTTATATAGATTTGCGTAACGTTTGCTGCAAACGTTACATAACGAACTTTAGTTAACTCCAATTTACAGATATTGAACTTTTAATACGAACGTTCGATGCAAACGTTAAATAAAGACGTTCAATACGAACGTTCAATACGACCATTCAATACAAACGTTCAATACAAAAATTTAATTCGAACGTTCAATACAAACAAACACCGAACGTTTACTTAATGTTCACTGCAAAAGCTATTAAGATAGCTCTTAAAGGTTCACCACAAACACGCATTAACAAACACGAATGTTTACCCAATGCTAATCTTTTTTTTAACTTTTTGACTGAAGTAATAATATTTAACCCACCAAGCAATGAAAGCTTAAGAAACGTTATCATAACTTTCGTTTAGACTTGCTTAACGTGCGTTGCAAGCATACTTTGAACCAACTTTTGGGAACGTTCGCTGTGAACGTTCAAATAACAAACAGCGAACAAATTAACGTTCGCTGCAAACGTTTCTTAGATAGCTCTTGAACGTCTACTTAACATGACATTTAACGTTCTAGAAACTTTACTATAACGTTCAGTTAGGTTTGTATAAAGTATGCTGCAAATGTTATTTAAACAAATTTTTGTGAACTTCAATTTACATTTCTTAAATGTTCGCTGTGAACGTTCAAGAAATGTTGCTTTGGAAGCTCTTAAACACCATACTTACTCAAAAACGTTACTTTGAATGCTCGTGAACGTTTAACTAAAACGTGTTAACACACGTGTGTTTACCCTACTTTTTTTGCCGTTTCAATGTATAGCTTTAAACATACTTTTTGTTTAAACCTACCAGTGCTAGTATATGCAATGTAATGCATTTTTGAACTCAACCAGCTAACACAAATCGTTCAATAACGTTCGACAAACTTTGTAAACGTTCGAGTATGTTCTATAAACGTTCGAAGAATGTTTTTGAACATTCGCAACGTTTTTGAACGTTTTGTGTTTGCTGGGTAACTAACTTTTTTTTATTTAATAAATACAAATTTGCCATGTTTTACAGCTCATTAACCCCATATGAAACTTATACGAAAACCGACGATTTAACTATTACATTACAACCAAATGACACACAATTAGCTAAGCTGATAAAAATTAACAAAATCTGTATCTCTTGCGATATAATACTTGCTTTATTAGTACTAATACTAGCGCCCTATAGGGCATTAATAACAATTTACATCAATTTAAACTAAATTTTTTCTTTACAACATCAACAACATAAAAAATAAGTACATATTATTCCAGGGAAAAAGTGCAGCTAATTTGACATTTATTAAAATAAAAGTTATTAAATAAATTAATATATATTTTAGTTTACAAGAGCGCGTTAATAAACCTGATCAAAAAATGTTAAAAAACTTAAAAAAAAACTCATACTTTTTAAATGATAGACTGCCTGACTGAACCTAACTCTCAATCAATGTAGCAGCACTCCCTTGCAAGTCAGGCTATTTGTCAGTCGATGTAGCAGCACTTTGTTGCGAGTCAGGCTATAAGATAGTCGATTTAGCAACACTTTAAAAATGTTTTTTAACAAATCAAAAACAAAAACACCAATAATTAAAAAAACTTTCTCGTCATTATTATTGCGGTTTTTTTAAAAAACAATAAAATTTAATGTACTTCCGCATTAATTTAATTGCTTTGATATTTCTACGACAATAAAACGCAGCTTAAGATAGGAGGTAAAAAAATTGTAGTCCAAAGAGGCTATTTATAACTACACTATACACTATAATACACGACTACACTATAAGGATATATATATATATATATATATATATATATATATATATATATATATATATATATATATATATATATATCCTTATAATGTAGTCGAATATATGTATATATATACAAATATATATATATATATAATATATATATATATATATATATATATATATATATATATATATATATAGATATATATATATATATATATATATATATATATATATATATATATATATATATATATATATATTGGGGTACATCATACTCTTTAAATTTTGAATTCTGAATTCGGCGAACGATTTTAATGGTGCCACTATATGTAAAAATGAGCTTCAAAAAAAAAAAAAAAAAAAAGTAATTTTTACCTAGGCGAGATTGCAGTTTTCGAAAAGGTAAATTTGTTCATTTATGCATAATTGCAATGGGAGTCAAATTTTAAAATTATTGCAATATGAAACTTTTTAGATTTTTTTTTTTATATATTACCATATGCTGTAAAACATGAATAATTTTTTTTTAATCAAAAAAATAAATTCTTGCGCCTTTTAAGGTTGAAAAAAATGTTAAAATATAAAATATAATGTTAAATTTTTCAAATAATATGGACACACTTCTTGCAACAAAACTTGCGATACTTATTTTGCAAGTCACAAAATTTGCAGTACCTATTTGCAAGCCACAAAACTTCCAATACCTATTTGTAAGCAACAAAACTTGCTGTACTATATTTGCAAGCCACAAAATTTGTGGTACCTCTTTGCAAGCCACAAAACTTGCTGTACCTTATTTGCAAGCAACAAAACTTGTGGTACTTATTTGGTTGTCAAAAAACTTGTTGTACTTATTTTCAAGCCATAAAACTTGCAAAACCTATTTGCAAGCCATAAAACTTGTGGCAGTTATTTTGCTGGTTACAAAACTTGCTATACTGTGAGCATTTTTACATTAATTTTATATTTCAATTAAGAAAATTCAAACTTCCCTGATATAACAACAGCAACTAGCTTGAGTTTTTAATCTTTTGACAGTTCAATATCAGTTCCATCTTGTTTTCAATAAGAAATAGTGTAAATTCTGCCTATTAAACAAGTGTAAAGATAAATAAGTGTAACGTCACATAAAGTATGTGATCTTTACACTTATTTATGTATGGTGTTTTTATAAAGTTGTCCACTGATACTT